ATAAATGAGATTTAATTTGTACGAATCAAATGATCTCATTAATAAAGAAATTATTATAATTTTTTTTTTTGAAATTTTGGATTTAAACATTAAAAATATTAAAAGTGCAAACGTTTAATATTAAATGATTTAGGTGGCATTTGGTTTGCTGGAATCCCTTGGAATTAGGGGAAATTAGAATCCAATTCCACCATTTTCTCGTATTTAGTTCAAGTTTTCAAAAGGGGAATTGAAATCTAATTCCATCATGAGACGGAAAGTAAATTACATCCATAACATAATGTAATTGAAATCCTTTGGAGGAGAGAATGTGATATTTGACCATACTACTCTCATCAATCTTTTGGTATTCGGGTTGGATTTAAAAAAAATCGGGTTCGGGTCGGGTCGGTTATTTTATAAAAAAAATTGGGATCGGGTCGGATTTTTTTTAAAAAAAAATCGGCTTCGGGTCGAGTTTTTTAAAGTTTGATATTCGGGTCGGGTCAGGTTTTTTTAAGTGTGATATTCGGGTCGGGTTCGGGTTTAGGGTGAAAAATACCCGACCCGACCTGACCCGAAAAAAATATATAATTTAACTTATATATTTAGGAATAATTACAATAATACCTCTCTCTATATATATTTTTTCAATTAAGTCACTGTTTTTATTAAATAAAAATATTTTTTTATTATTTCGGGTCAAGCCCCGTTTCTAATTCATATTTTCGGGTCAGGTCGGGTGAAACTTTATTTTGGTTGGGTCGGGTCTCTGGTGGAGGTTCCCTTATTCTCGGGTCGGGTCGGGTGGTAAAAAACCTACCCAACCCGACTCATGGCCATCCCTAATTGGGATAATTTTAACTTATAATGTTTATTAATATAATTTTTATAATTTATTGAAATGATTAATCAATCAATAAAATGAAAATTTAATATTTTTTAAAATTTTATAATATATTACTACATGTAAGTTATAAAACAAACTAAAAATTAAGTAAAAAATAAAAGAAAGATAATTCTGTCATTTTACATTACTAAAATCAAATTCATCTTATATGTCTACGAATCAAACAGAATATGAAATTAAATTCTAATTTAATTTTCTTCCAGTAAAATATGTTTCAAATTCAGATTTCAGATATTGACTTATACTTTCTAATATTAATTGAAAAAAATTAATTTGAGAGACGTGTAATTCCACGAATAGGAGGTCCCCACATGTTGATGGTAGGTCAAGAAAGCAGCCAATAAGAAGAAGTTGAGTGTATCCGGCAACTGCCTTTTCCTTTTTCTTTAATGGCTTATCTTCAACTTTGTCCTCGTCTGTTTCTTTGATTTGACACGTGTCGTGTGCTTCTGTCACGTGACCTCCCCTTGTCCCCGGCCCGCCTCTAGTGACTCTTCCAGCCTCTCGTTAGACTTCTATCATGTGTGTCTTCAACTTTTTCTTTGCACAATTAGAAACTAAAATATCCACATTCAATTGTGAAAGTTGTTTTAAAATAGGGTAAATTGTATGTTTAATATTTAAATTATTAATTTTGATTTATTTAGTATTTATTTAAGTTTTTAAAATTATATTAAACATTTAGTTTTTATAATACCCGTTATTAAAAACTTAAGTACCTAAACTATTAATTTTAGTTCATTTTAATACCTAAACTTTCATTTTTTTCCCAAAACATAGCGTTAAATTTTGAAACAAAAAATAAACTTTAGATATGATTTTTAAAAAAACTTTAGGTATTAAAACGGTTAAATTCGATAATTTAAGTACTAAACATGTAATTTATCCTTTAAAATATCAAGCTTTTTTTATAAACTAAAAGGTTAAAAATTAAAAATTTAGAAGTTAAATTTAAATTCTAAGTTTTTCAATTTTTATTTAAAAATAGATATTCAATTTTTTAATGGATAAATAAAAAACTAGTTATCTATTTATTATTTTCTATATATTTTTTTAAAATTTATTAATAGATAATTTTAAGTTTAAATTATTAAACATGCTTAAAATATTCAATTAATAAAATTTTAATCTTTTCTTAAAATTCATTATTCAAGATCATCGTAATAATTAAGATTGAGACCAATTTAATAAAAAGATTACACTTTAAAAAATAACTATTAATCTTGAAAATAATTGCCCATTTTCATTTGATATAAATATAAACCGTGCTTTCGATTAACCCCTAACAACCTCCATAACTTACAAAATTCATTATATTAAGACGCATCAATCGAGTCATTCGGATCGGATTCAGGTCGGATCGTTTAAAATCTTTTGGGTTAGGATTTTATTCAGTTTAGATTTAGTTTGGTTCGGTTTCATATCGGGTTCTGGTTTAATTCGAGTCAGGTCAAAATTCGAAACTTGATTCCAATCAACAATCTTCGTAGCAAAATAATATGACAAGCATACAATATAATTGTAACATATTCAAATTCACAATTGATTGCTTCTTAAAACTCCATGAGACATGTAACACCCTCAATCCGTGCCCGACCCGGATACGAGTCCGAAGTGTCACATTGACTTTTCAAACTTTGACTATTGACGAAAAATCAAGGAAATTTAAAGCTTTCATTAAAATAACATTGTTACTTTACACAAGTTAACCAAAACAAGATAAAACTGACCAGAGCATTTGTAACAGACACTTTTCTTACATGCCAACCATATACACGACAAAAGACATACTTTATACGTTACTTCTGATCTGATCTTCTAGCAGTGATGCTGTTCTTGCAACCCTATTTCCACTCTTCCTGATTCTTGATACCTACGTGTAAATCACTTACACGCTAAGTCATAGACTTAGTGAGACATATAAATATAACAATAATGCATTCAATATGAATATGAACATGCAATATATCCATCCAATCCTGTCGTATACAATTCAATGTAAACAATAATAATATGATAACATATAACTATAACAATGTAATTACATTTGATAACCTTTTATAGGCCCATGTACATTTTTGAGAACTCAAGGTATTCGAGTACATTGAGGTTGTGTACTATGTTGTCACCACAGCTCGTATGGGTCCCACTAGGAGCTATGAAATTTGTCCCGAAGGACCTATGATTGTATTTGTCCCGAAGGACCACTCCTTAAGAACTATATACATATTCCTGTGGATCATATCTGTCTCAAAGACACTGTAATGTTCCAAAGGATACATATACGTCCCGAAGGACCACGTAGAACCCTCGACTCTTGGCATGCCAACTATACCTATAGCTCTCATATCGTATACCATGGGCATTATTCTTATGTTTCATGTCATTTCTCTTGTGATCACATAGCTCATATCACTTATCATCTCACATGGGCATTTGGGTCTTTTCACATATATCATTTATCAAATCATATGAACATATATACTTTATGCATGTATCATAATAATTATCATGTATGCATGTTCATAACTATTGTGCTATGAAAATCAACATATGAATTAGACTTATCACAAGTCTTATTCCATTGTACCATGCTTCTAATATGTACTCACCTTAGCCTTGCTTGACTCGATTCTAATCCTTCAATTGTTCCGAAACGAGATCACGTTCTAAATCTACATATTAATACATTGATACATATCAGTATACTAATTGATATATTCAAAACTATCATTCCTTAGGCTAATAAGAAAGTTATTTTTATCTTTTAATGAAGACATGCATCGATGCACTACACCATGCATCGATACATCCCTTGACAGGTGCATCGATGCACTATTCATGCATCGGTGCATAAATCCTATTCGATGTTTGTATTTTAAGTAGGTGCATCGATGCACTCCTTATGCATCGGTGCATAATCCTATTCGATGTTTGTATTTTAAGCAGGTGCATCGATGCACTCCTTATGCATCGATGCACTGATTGCATTCGATGTTCATTTATTTGAGAGTGCATCTGCTTAATTCTTCATCTTTCACCTCCTTTAAATATTCCTAACTTTCATATACATACTTAAACTCACTTCTACTCCATACTCACTTCTTTAAACTCAAAATTCTATCTTCCATATGAAATCCAAGAATCATACTAAATTTCTACTTGTTCTAAATTCAATTCCATCATTTCATATCCCTTAATTAAGTGGATGAAAAGTCAAATTTGTCTTCCAATATGAGTAATGAACTATATTCCAAGATTTCATTTAAGAACTCAAAATCTTTAATCTCTCATATATCTTTCATCTTGTTGTTTAAGAACAAATTAAACTTTCCTTAAGCTTAATTATCATCTAGTGATCATAACCAAACCTTTAAATCAACCAATAATCAAGAAATCACAAACTTACCTTTGAGCTTGGAGATACGGGAGGAAAAAGAAGAAGAAGAAGAGAGTTTCTCAGATAACTCTTTCTTTTCCCCCACGTGTTTCATTCTTATAAAAGGAGAAAATATCTTTCTTATCAAATGACCAATTTACCCTTTAATTCATTCAATAATTATCAAACAACCTTCAACTATATTTTCAATAAGTCATTAAACTATTAAACTATTTTACTTTTATCACCAAATTTCAAAAATTCTCATTTTAATCACTGACTCGAGTTTCGAGATATTACAAGACAATTGTATTTTCGATGAAAAATACATTTCGCTATCGCTTTTCCATCATCTTTCTCTCTTTTAAAATCATCATCACAATATCTCATAATTATGAACGTTAAAATAATACGTTAACACTCAAAACGTGACATAGTCCTAACTTTTTTTAAAAAAATTATTTAAAAAAATTAAAATTAAAATTTAAATAAACTCCCAAATCCTTCTAAAATCTAAAAAAAGAACTTTAAATTATCTAATCCTTTTTCGCCGACCGTTGTCACCAACGCCACTGTTCGACCGAAATTCCGACGTCATTGACAGACCGAAACCACTTGCTTTTTCAACCACCGCTGCGTGAACATGAAAAAGTTTACCTCCCAACTCCAAAATCCGGCGAAAACCACTAACATGCGATAATTTAAATTTCACAATCCAAACTCAATCCCAAATTTAAATTTCCAAACACAACATTTAGAGAGTTATCACATATGAAAGGCATAGAAACCAAGTACATAAAGCAAACGACTACCTTAACAATGCAGACAGTAATCGACCGATTCGATATACTCGCAACACATTTCGAAACATATATAGTTTGTAGTAAGTATATGCTAATGGGCGGGGGCAGCTAGAAGTTGGGGCTCAATCACCTGAAGCAAGCCAGTCGCCAGTCTTGCTGTAAGATCCTCCACTGAAACTTTCACTGCATCCCTCCTCATGCCGATATCAGCAGCGTATCGACTTGCACAGTAGACCCCGACCGCCGTGGCTGCCATACCGTATATGTTCGTAGTAACAAGGCGTAATGGAGTTGACATCACAGCTGAGAGAGGGCCGCCTATGATCGATATCGCTTGACCACTGTGTCCGATGGTTGATTGATCTAGGACGAGCAGCCCGGTTTTGCAGTAGATTGTGAAATCCTCACAGTTGTTCTTGAAAACATTATAGCAACCAAATCCATTTTCGAGCAAGTATTTTGCTCGATGAACCACTAAATCATCTGGATCGGAGACTGCAAGAGTGCAAGTTCCGCCTCGTGCTTTCGCAATAAAGAGAGCGGGGCTGACCGCATACTCGAAACGGTACAAAATGCCACCAGCAAGGAAGCAGTTCAAGCATGAGGAAACAACACCATTACCTTCTTCTGGTGGAGTGCAGGTAGGGCAATGAAGTTGAGATCGAGCTGGCCCTGAGCTTACCAAGAGAAGATCCAGAACAGTTCCTGTACCAACTTCTTGGCCACGTCTAGTAAAATGAATGACCGTATCGTTTCCAACATAGATGCCTGCACTCATACCAAAGCATAAAGATATAATTAGTTCAACAATTACAGCATAATATAAGTGGAAAGTGAAAACCATAAAAAACGCATCTCTTCAAGAGATAATCTGGAAACTTCAAAAACTAAAAAGAAGGCCAAATTCAAGTAAACTTGATTTAACAAAAACATAATCTCAATGAAGACCGGTTACAAATTAGGCGGTTAGCCTTCCAGGCAGTCTCAAACTCTACATTAGTAGTACCATGAAACAAAATAATTCAACTTGTTCATCCTTTATTTATAGAATCCTTCTCACAAAAAGTAGTCTTTTGGAGCATTACAGCAAGGATAAGTGATCACATACTGCAAAATTTTATGTAGAAGCTATAAAACTAACCTAGCCAGCATTCATTTGGAACACATACAGTTATAAATAATGTGGATAATAATTTATCAATTACATTACACACTCCTTCGAAATTAAGACTTCGCTAACAAAAGCCTTAAAGGGACTCTTTGAAGTCACTATATAATCATTGCAAATAACAAAAAAAGGATATCAAATATTGCATAGTGCAATGCTTATTACTCTAAAATTATCAAAAGTTAATCCTAAAGGCACTGCAAAAATCCTTGAAACTGTACAGTTTGTTGATAAATGGAATAGGATCCAAGCTAGGTAGCAGAGTAATGCCTAAACAGTCATCACGACATTAGAAACGGTTCTAATGCTTAACCAATGAAAGATTTTTCATAACTACACCCATAGTTCAATATTCCAAAAGTTCAAACTTTCTTAGCCATCAGATCATACTTAAAACCAGTTCTATGATCTATCCATATTTCAGGTTACTAAGAATAGAGGTGTTTGCGGTCGGTTAACCATACCGTTTAACCTAAATGGTTCAGTTAACTTAAATAGAGAGATTCTAAACACAAAGTACATACTTAATTCCAAAAAAAAAATTACATATGGATTATACATAGTAATTAATACATCTACATACTACTTACTACTATTTTCCCATATAATCCAATACAGATCAAAGTTTTAAAGATAAATCTTTAACAAACATAAAAACAATCATTATACTTGTAATTTTCCTTTAAAAAAATACATCCACAATTTAGTAGTTAAAATCTGTAACCATAACCGTAACCAATGTCACTTTTAATAGCTAAAATCTATACAACCCTAATCCAAAGGCATAAAATTCAAACCCAAATCAACGAAGAACAAGAAATTAATGAAAAAGAGAGAAAAGGGTGGGAGTAAAGAACCGTGATGGGAATAAATATATGCAGTCCTCCATGAATAGATGTGATCCCCTGGTTTCAGGCTCTCCTTACAAATTCTGCTTCATCCGTTCATTTGTTTACCAAAACAAGAATGGTTTTTTAATCAGGCATATAAATCTGTAGGAAAAAGAAAAAGATTGGGAGAGATTAAATGTAAACCTGTTAGAAAGGAGCCCCATGCTTATCCTTAATAAAAACTGGACTTGGATTGTAATTCTGAGAATCTGATGTTCTTCCTGAGTTATCTGTCGGGAATTAAAATATAAATAAAATAAAAGTTTGCTTTTCAGTAACGTGACTTCAATTCGAAGTTGCTCGCGAATACCCGTAAACCTAGATTTACGTGTAGCAACCGTGTTATCATATTAAACATATGGGTAAAGTATACAAATGGTCCCTTGACTAAAAAATATTTATTTTTTAATCTATTGACTATTAAAAATTACAAAATAGTCTTTTAACAATAAGGAGATACTTTTTTTTTGTATTCATTGACTATAAAAAGTTACAAAATAATCACCCGACTATTCATTATATTCCAAACTCGTCCTTTTTTGTTAATAAATTGACGACAATATGAGATGTACGTTAACTTGTTGACTAGATACGATAAAATATGATCTTATAATCTCAAATAACTATCATACCTCAATCAACATGCTAACGTCCAATTCAACTGACCGTTAATTTTTTAACAAAAAAATGATGAGTTTGGAATATAATGAATAGTCGAGTGATCATTTTGTAACTTTTAATAGTCAAAAGATTCAATAAAGTATCTCCCTATAGTTCGATGGACCTTTTGTAACTTTTAATGGTCGATGAACTTAATAAAACAATATCTTATAATTGAAAGATCATTTGTGTACTTTACCGTAAACATATTAGGTCACTAATTTATGGGAATAATATCTACTTAAAAATTAATTATCATAATATAATTAATTAGCTGACCCTATTCCCATATGTAATGGGGTGAGGGGGAGGTAAGGTAGTAGGGTGCCTCCAACGCCAGGTTGAGAGCAGCTTCCATGAAAAACCTCCGGCAATCAGAATTATAAATTGCCCACCGTGGGACTCGATCCCACAACCACAAGATTAAGAGCATTGCGCTCTACCAACTGAGCTAGACAGACAATTATTCATCTTTTAACATAATTAGTCAAATTGTTCATCTTTTTTCACTCATATTTTTTTAGATCATGGGTTCTAAACTTATTAATAAGACTCATTTCTTCTCAGGTTTTTATCTTCCGATTATGATTATGTTTAACAGTTATCAATATATATATATACATACAGAGAGAGTTATCATTCATTTCGATTACATAAAATACAGATATGTTCTGGTGATCGCATTTTATTAAAAACATTCTCAGTTAGATGTGCCCTTGACTGATATGATACAACATGTTAGGACTCTTGATTTTGATTGATTGTCGAGTCATAAATCCACGACTCCCATAAAAATAAAAAAAAATTATATTTTTAATTGATAAAATTATTATTTTATTTTGCTTAGATTTGAACTAACTATTTTATCTCATAATTTCAATTCATTTTAAATAATCAATATTAACATAATTCTTAATTAAATAATAAGTATTTTGATTAATTAGTGATTAAATAATTATTTTTTAAATAACTGATAATAAATTAATTCCATCTTACTAAGTATATTGCATATAAATTTGTGGTTTGCTAAATACTTGAAACAATGTCGTTATTTAAATATAAATATGGTTTTTACATTAAATTGTTGAGATTGATATTTATAATAAAAGCAAAAGAAAAAAATTCTCACTCACAAACGATCTTTATATGTGTCGTCTTATAGTAAGATCGTAGTTGATTACACATTTTTTTTATATTAGAAGGCCTTCAGTATGATCATTATCATCATCACCGATAATTTATTTGACCATCACCGTGTATTGATGGACCGTATTGATTTATTGACGTGTTTGAGTTGTACTATAAAAAATAATGATTACAGAGATATTCGACTAACAATTATATCATTGAATGAAATCAATGAAATTTTGAGAAATGACGTAGGTGAATAGGAGTTCGATAACTAAAATGATTGTGGTAGAAGATCAATCATATTCAATACTTGTGTGCATGCAGCATACATCGAATTCGATAGTATTGATGTATAACTTGCAGCATCTGTTTTCCTTTTGATGGTTGATTGTAACTTAAAATTGGTGAGAAGCTTAAAATGGCAAAGTTACCTTTACTCTGATCTGACAAAAGATTTATTTTATAATCATCATTCTTCAGTGTATGTATCAGGTTCTGATTTGGAGCCCTTTGTATCGTTCCTCATTATAGAGGTTATTCATGCTGCCTACAAATCTGGACACATCCAAATTGCTACAAAGCTGGACACATCCAAATTGCTGACCACATCAGCTTCTTCGTGACTTTACTATCTCGTTTCAAAATTTTCCCCGGTATTTCATAAATATATCCACTTTCCAATTTTGTTGATTATAGCACTTGGCCCTTTCTTTTGTTCTTCTAACTCTTATATATATATATATATATATTTGGTGTCTTTTAACTAATCTCTTCATGGTGCATTTGCTTGTAGATCCATAACTCATAAGTACATAATAGTATTATACAATTATCTGAGCGGGGAATAAGGGGCTTCGTGGTGCAAGCATTTATATGAGAAAAATTGATTTGTCTGTCTGTTCTGTTTTGATACTTCTATATTTTTACTTTGTGGTTTGCTTGATGATTATTTGATATCTACTTCAATGGGGATTTTCTATTTGCAGAAAACATATATCCAGTTAGAGAAAGTGATGTGAAGGTTTCAAATCATGGAGGTTTTTAAGTATCTCACCAGCATGCTTTGCTCGTTCTTGTCACAGATGGGTGATAATTCTGTTGTTTTCCAAATACTGGAGAAAGCAATCCTTGGTTTGATAGTAAGTTGACCGCACGGCTTGCATCTTCATTTCAGTTATTTCCTTGTACGCATAGCCTAGGCTTTATGCAAGATTTGAAGTTGTTGTATAAGTTGTTTCTCATTCAATTTGATCCCTTTCCTTGAAAATTTATTTTCAAGTTAGAATACTTGACAGTGGTGTTGTAACCTTTTTGCAGTTGTTGCAACAACCTCTTGAAATTGCGTGTGCAATGTTGAGAGTGCTCATTATCCTGGACTCTAAACCCACTCGACTTTCCGAAAAAAGTATAATTGCTCTAAGCAATTTCCTTCCAGGATATCTTATGGATGTTGTGCTTGTGAGTTGTCAGCATTTGCCCTCAACTTAAATGCTTCACCTGTTTCTTATCGGTTATCCTGTCATCTCTCTTTTTTTCTTGGTTTCTATTGGCTTTTTTTCTTGGTTTCTGTTGGTCATCTCTTAGCTCCCTCGATATGGATTCTACTATTCTTAAGATAAATTACTCTTACTTCTTACTGTTAGTGCATAACTGCATATATGTTTGGATGTGCTAACTTTGACCAGTAGTGAAAGATAAACTAGCAAATAAAACTTTCTACATTGTCATGTTGGCCCTATAAGACTCCTTCGTTTTCTTGATTCGAGTTGCTGAATGTCTTTAATTTATGCAGTGTATTCCAGTAGATGATGTTCAAACGTGGCAATATTACCTTCTACCATGCTTTTTCATGTTTGATAGGAGTTACAAACTTCTGAAGCTTGTTTTGGATGTGATTGGTTCATTTTTAACTGACAACAATTTCTCACTTCCATCTGATGCTTCTACAAGATATGCAGCTGACAGTCTCAGTCGAATAAATGCAACTATTTCTTTGCTTCTATTAATGTACGAGGACATTAAAGTACACAAAATTGTTTCTTTATTCAAAGAAGAGATCAGCTCAATTTTGCAAAGCCTAGCTTCTCTACAGGTATGATTTTGCAGCATGCATTATTCTTCTCAAAAGATTTATCCTTATAAGCAAGCAGAGAAGCTAAGGTATGGATCAATCTTATTCGTGTGCTAATCATGATTGAAATTTAACAAGGATCCTAGGCCCTGGGAAGCTTTAGGCATTTATACCTACTTGCATTTGTATATCATGTATCCTTGTGCTCGGTAACATTGGCTGTTGAAGTGTCAATGCCGTTAATAAGTTTGTATATGCATATCATTCCTACCAAAAGTACATTTTGTTTTAGAAAGTTTTTGGTTTGCATTTTTTGGCCTAGTATGCTTATCTAATCCTGTGGACTTCCAAATTTCATTAAATGGTGAAAGAATAGCACTATGACATTGGATACGCCCCACTTCACCTGATTTGGCAATATAAGACACTACAGTTCTTTTCCCTGCTGATTTGGTTCCTACTAGATTTGGTTCCTACTTGATTCGGAAGTCAAGATGACCATCGAAGAAAGGCACAGATTTCAATGTTCATTTGAACAATTAAAGGCGGTTACTAGTACATCACCAGCTGGCTGTATCCAATGAACTTTGCACACTGTGAGTTTATTATTATTATGATACAACTTGATTTTTTTTCCCAAGTTTTTCAAATTTTTTGAAGATCATACTTCCAAACCCTATGTCGAAAAATGCTTTAAGACATGGGTGTTGGATGCAGGACTTTAGAATAAATGAAGCCAGATAAAATGGGTTATAACAAAAAAAAAAGTTGCATGATCCATTTTATTTTCACTTCTAATTGAATGAATTTGGTGTCCATCCGTGTTTAATATGCAACACGAGGGGAAATTTACATATATGATGGGAAACTTAGACAAGTCGGTCTTAAGAAAGCTATGATTACTGCTATACATTTGTTGTTGCTTTTGCACTCAAGTCACCTTTCTGAGTGTGCCTTTACACCTATTTTGGATGTTGAATAAATCACTTGACTGCTAAGGAATATATCATATATATCTGACATTCCTTTTTTATGCAGCAAAATGGGTTCTCCTTTTTGGGAACATATTTAGAAGTTGGCAATGGCAAATAAATCAGGTCTAGTTTTGGAGGGAATATTGACAAAAAAATGCTCTGGTTTAGCTAATCCGACTTTCTAAGGGCAGTGCAATAGTGGGAAAATTGTAGTGGATTGCCTCTCTAATTTTGGCCATGGTTTGGTTATGGTGTGTGATTTTTATTGGTGTTTGAGAGGGAAAAGGGAATGAGAGAATTTGTTCAGTACATCACATGGCTGGAATATCAGATGGAGTTAGTTTATGCATGGTATATTTGGTAAGTGGTGTTATACCAAAATTCTGCCCATGTGAGGTAGTTCTCATTCACTAGTATCATCGTCTTCCACGAAACTTTAATACATTTCTTAACATCGGTTCAACACGTTGATTTGATATTGATCTGAGGATGGTACGCAGAGCTCATGCATAATTTGATTCCTTGCAACCTTGCTATTTCAGTCCATAATTCACTAGTGAAAACTCGATCCCTACCATTGACCATGGATTGAGTTGAACTGTGAAACCCCCATAGCAGTTGTGATCCCAAAGTCATCTCCTTCGGTATCGTTATTCTCCCTTGAACCAAAATAAGCCCCTCATGTTCGCTAAACCACTGGTATTCATTGCCCCCCTTGTTAAGATTTTTTTTAATGTTTTTCAACTCTTGGTCGTGCTTGTTAGTTAACCAATATCCCCATTAATACCAAATATAGGTTGGGAAAAGCCATTGAACTCATGTTCGTTTCCGTTGACAAAGCGCTAGCCATCGTATTGAGTTCATTCGGACAATAACGAATCTTGGAGCCATTGATGTTGCTCCGGTGTTTGAATGGTTTGTTGGGTAAATTCTTTCGATGACTTTTGATTGGTCACGACGATGAAGTTTCTTCTCGGAAGGTAGTATCGCCATTTCTCCACCGTCTGTATGATATACGTCTGGGTGCTCAATTTTTGGTTTAGGTACGCAAGTGGCCTATTTTCTTGCGAGAAGGTAGTTCTTATCCCACTCTAGACCCATCCATCTCAACAAATATATATATATATATATATATTATCGATGCTCGACAATCCTGAAACTAGTGTCGAGCAAAGGCGTAACTTCAACTACTTGAACGATCCTCGAGTTATGTTCGCCCATTCGAATGACACACCTTTACGTAGCAAATCTGATATGACGCTACTATAGAAAAGCCGTTAATGAACTTATGTAGTACCCTGCTATGCCTAAACAATCCTTACATCCTTGAATATAGTGGTCACTGGCCAAGCTCGAATTGCCTCGACCTTACTCGGGTCCACAGCTAATCCTCTCCAAGATACAATACGACCCAATTATTCCATTGTTTCCTGCCAAAAGATACACTTAGATCTCTTGACCACAAATATGTTTATTTAGCTTAATAAATGAATATAAACGAACGTGAATGGACATAAATAAATTATTGAACGCTTTGTTTCTCCTTGCCAATAAAGATTTTATATCATCTTATCAGAATTCGAAAAGTCAAATTTAAAAAATTCAATGTGACTGGTCCTAGTGTGACCAGTCATGGCTCTCCCAATACCATCCTCCGAGTCTGTACATAAAATTTAGTGATCAATTTAGTCCCTTGAATCCATATCTCGAGGTCTCGTACACAACCTTCATTTTGGAACCTCTCCATATTACCCACGAAGAACCTAAAGATACCCATAATTAGTCTCTGATCAAAATTTCATGATTTTCTAATTCTACTTCACCATCCGTAAGTTCTTCCTCGCTATGGTGCTTTCCTTCTCCGGCCTTATCATCTAACGAAAACATCTTAGGATCCTTGCACTTATGCCCTAATACAAATTTAGCATCATAATAATAACACAACCCTCTTCTCTCGTAGTGGCAGAGATTCTTCTTAGTTGAATAGGGTTAGAGTGGCTCTTAGAAGCCTCTATGGGTTGGGGTCGACCGAGCATTCCTCTATGTCCGTTTGGTGAACATTATGTGCGTGGACAACAAGGTGTTATTATAGTTACAGTCATTAGGTGTTATTAAAAAAAAAGCTGACTCACTTTGACTCTTTGTTTCTTGTCCTTCTCCATTGCCACCTTTTCACCTCAAACCATGCTCTATCTCTCACTCACTTCGAGCTTGAATTTCTGGGTTTCTATTTCTTATCTAGAAACCAAGAACCTCTATGGCTCTATTAAATAAGTATTAATGTAAAATAATTGTTCACTATGCTTAAAAGTTAACTTTAGGGGGGTGTTTGGATGGGGGAATGTGGGATTCCCATGGGAATGGAATCCACATTCCCCTGTTTGGTTAGCCCGGGAATCCTATTCCCGGTAATGTAAGATTACCAATAGTGGATTTTTTGGGGTATATTACCGGGAATGTCATTACCTCCCTTTCCTTAGGTATTGTTGGATTACCGGCGTTTTGGACTAAAATGCCCTTAAATTTTTATTTTTTTTCAAAAATATATTTATTCTGTCATCGAATAATAAAATTTTTACGAAGGTTAAATTACAAATTTATCCTTAAATTATTTTAGATTTACAAAAAAAAATCTATAATTAAAATTTTATATAAAGTTCAAGGGTTAAAATAAAATTTTACCCTTTCATTAATTTTTTTTATTTTTAATTTTGTAAAAAATATATAAATATTATGAATTTAATTTTTTTTAAAGAAAAATATATAAATATTTTCCAACTTGTAATATTAACACAAATATATAATTAGGACAATTTGGTCAAATATACATTCCAATAATCTTTTATTCCTTTAACCAAACACGGTAATCTTACATTCCTGCTAAGCCAACCAAACACAAAATACAACATTCCCAGTAATGCTATTCCTTGGTAATCTTACATTCCCACTGGTAATCTTATATTCCGTGAACCAAACGCACCCTAGGTGCTTAAATTTTTTATTTGAAATGTGTCTAACATTTCAAACGTTACAGTTTTATGCACCTAAATTGTAATGACCGTGAAATGACACGTGGCATTCTCATTTCTTTGAATTTTTTATTTATATAAAAATTTAAGAATATTATTATTTTAAAAAAAATATTTTTTTTAAAAATTATAAAATAAACCCCAAAATCCTAAAATCTCTCATTCTAACCCCATATTGGCCATCATCGATCATCACCATCCGCCTTCGCCATCGTCAAACAGTCACCCACCATCGTCAAACCTCCACAGTCGGCCATCCCCTTTTTCGTCATCTCAATCCTCTTAAATCCCAAATCTCTAGCCTTAATCCCAAATTTATTAGATTATTTTCTTGTGTTTTGGGGAGGGGAAGCAGCGAGGGTAGGTGGTTGTTCGATAATAACAACGGCAAAAGTAATGGCGGGCGGTAGATAGATTGGTAATAGGAGTTAGAATAAATCTCTAACCCTAATCCCAAAATTATTAGATTATTTTCCTAGTTTTGGAAAGGTGAATGATGTGGCAGCAAGAGGGGAAGCGGGCGAGGTAGGTGTTTGTTGGCAATGATGATGGCAACAGTGGTGGTAGACAAATAAAATGAAAACTAAACATTAGGTATATTTTGAAAAATATTAAAAGTTTAGGTATTAAATTAATAATTTTCGATACTAAATGCGTAATTTACCCAAATAATTATAAACTTTTAGCTCCGGTGAGGCGGGAAGTTTTTAAGTGGGAAATGGGAGTCTATTTTTTTTTAAAATTTCCTTTTATGCTCTAAACAGCGCCAATTCCTTAGCAACAGAAGAAACTCCACCAATCACCACTTCACTCGATCATCCCCTAAAAAAAAAAATCAAAGATGCAATCCAAAATAATCTCCTTCTTCAAGCCTCCTCTTCCTTCTTCTGCATTAACTGAGCGCTCAAATTCATCTACGCAGTTCTGCGGTGACGAGAACGATGAATTGGCCATCTGGGAGAAGAGTCAACACACCATTGTCAACACCTACACGCGTAGAGCTTCAGAATTTCATGGGTATTTTTTTTCTTCTATCGAAAGAAGTAATGAAATTTTGTGGGGGTTTTGGATTTTTTTGATATGTTTTTTTCCCTATTCGAAGGATTGACAGGAAAAAGGAAGCAAGCGATGAGAAATCGGAAAAACCCACTTCGGAGAATAGGTTGTCAATGGAAGAATGCGGTTCAAATGGGAGAAATCTGAATAAGAAGAGAAGTTACGCACAGTTCCATTTGGAGTTCGGTCAATCTAATTTTCTTCTCCATGACTGTTCAACTTGCGGGGTCAAGTACTCTCCGGGGGATGAAGCTGATGAAAAGAACCATACAATTTTTCATAAGAATTTCACTCTTGGGATTCAATTCAAGGTACTCATATTTTTCTTAAAACTATACATATTCGCTTTCTGTAATTGACGAATACGACTAGCAGTTGATCTGCAATTTAGTAGAACAGTACAAAGGGGGGGGGGGAGTTCGTTTTGATCCAAAAGCTAATTATTCGAAGATTGGGAGTCTTTTAACCGTGAGGTTCGTTTTGCAGGGATGGAGACACGAGAGGGTTGTTCATACGCCCAATGGCGAACGTGGTCGGGTCATTTTGGTGTTGGATTCTGATCCTGCTGCTCAGAGGAACAAGGTCGACATTTTGGGGTTTTGAGATTATCATACATTTTACCTTTTATAATTTATTTTACTTGATGATTATGGGGTTCTTCATTACAATGCCGTTTGCTTTAGCAGGTGCAAGAAGTTGTGAAGATGATGGAGACTGAGCTTGGTGAGGGCTGGATTTTTCACAAGCTTTGCAGGGTGATCTGATTGCATTTCTTATTGACATTTCGTAACATTATACCAGGGATTCAAATAGCATTCACGGTCATGTTTCGGTTGCGTTGCGTTTGCCGCAATTGCGAATATAACAAGCGCTATTGCGAATATAAAGAGCACTATTGCGGGTATCGCTGTCATATAATAACAGTTGCGGAAGACATCACTACCCTATATCGCAGTCGTGGACCGCTATTTTAATCCCTGCGTTATACATTATTTGTTAAACAAAATCTCTTTAATTTATCCCAATTGTATGTAAATGATTATGTCATTGTTCCAAAAGTTCAACATTTTGTTTTCATTCTACTTTTTACAGGTATATCTATTCATTTCGTCCCAACGGATTGCTGGATGTGTAGTTGCAGAACCAATAAAGGAAGCTTTTGAAGTCCTCTTGTGTCCGGTTGGTGCAATGGCGAAGAAAGCGAGGCCGAACTCCGACAAGCTTCGGTTTGGGGACATTGTTTTACGGAGGGAAGTAATAAAAAGAGCACCTTCAGAGGCATGCAATGGGGCGGTTGTGTGTAAAAGGGAAGCGGTACGCGCTGTTTGTGGCATACGAGCAATATGGGTGTCTCCATACAACAGGAGAAAAGGCATCGCCACTCAAATGTTGGAAGCAGTAAGGTAAAGGCCTGAGCTCTTTCAGTTAAACTTTCAGTTAAACAGCAGTCCACGGCCGTAATAGCGCTTTTGATATAGCGGTAGCCATGTCCTCAGCGACCGGTTATCTTATGACCACGCAATAGCGCCCATTATGTCTATAATTGCGACAAACACGACACAATCGAAAATAAGACCGCATTCGCTATTTAAATCTTGATTCTTTCAATAAAGGCTTCAACTTTTTGGATTTTTGAGGCTGAACTGAAACCCTCATTAAACTGTGTGATGCTCTGCAGGGAAAGCTTCTGTAGGGGACATATGATTGGAAAAGCTGAGTTGGCGTTTTCTGAACCGAGTTCGGATGGAAAAGCTTTGGCGTCCAACTATATAGGCACCGGCACTTTCTTGGTGTATAAAACTGGCAATCTGTGCCGCTAGATCATGGCAATTTCATTGTTTTAAGGGGCAAGATCAGACGTGTGAAGAAAAAAAGAAAGCATTTTCTGGTCGGAATCCATCACTGAAACCAATACAATCCCACACATTTCTTGTTTGGGTAAAATATATCATTCCTCACTGATTTACTCCATCTCCTATTTTATTCATTGTGCTTTTGATTTTTATAATTTACTCACCAAACTTTTGAATTACTCTTATGTTGAGCATTCTAAATTATTTTATTATTATTTTTGTATGATGTGGCATTTATTATTATTATTTAATATAAAAATAATCTTATTAATGTTTCAAAGGTCGATGATGATCGATAGTGGATGGTGATTATTTTAAGTTTTTTTAATTTTAATAATAATACAATATTATTTTATTATTTATTTTATATTATTTTTATATGAAATTATAATAAAAAATGTTATGTCATAAATAATAATAATAAAATAATTCAGAGTAATCAATACAAGAGCGATTCTAAAATTAATGAGTAAATTAAAAAAATTGAAAGTACAGTGAGTAAAATAGGAGAGAGAGTAAAGTTTAGTAAAATAGGGGATGGACATGGGACTCAAAATCGATGGATTTTGACCTGATCAGGTTGATTTTTTTAAAAAAATTGTGTTTGAGTTTAGAGTAAAAAATATTCAGCCTGAAAAAAATTATAATATTACTTTATATATTTAGAAATAATTACAATAATACTCCTTTATATATTATTTTCTTTCAATTCAATCCCTATTTTTATTGAATAAAAATAATATTTTTAACAAATATATTATTTCAGGTTGACTTCGGATTTTATCTCAAAAAACCGGATCGGATTTGAATTAGGTGGAATGTGTATATTTTTCGAGCCGAATTTGAATCAGGTGGACCAAAAATTCGACCCACCCATGCCCATCCCTACTAAAAACTAGAGGAGGGCCAATTAAGCACACCATTTGCATAACCAATTACCAATACGATTCCATGAACAATTTGTACAAATTTAACAACGTCCACATCTCAAACTCACAGATTCGTAAAAAAATGTCAAGCATATCTAACTTAATCCCAGAATTTCTGGATATTATCCACCAGGTCTTTGCAAATTTGTATTCTCCACGTACTAAATTCCCAAAAATTTCATATTTCAAAATTAATGTCATTTTTTTTACACTAAGGTAATCTTTACATAAAATTTTATATAAGATACCTGTTAACACAATGGTAATTTTTTTATTAAACTAAAATGATTATAAAGTAGTATATGTTTTAAATATTATTAAACATTTGACAACGAACATTCAAATATCATGTAATTTGCTGGTGCTCAAACCATTGATTTTTAGGAACAATAACGATTCTTTTAACCATTGAGGTAAGTTAGTTCGTACAATGATAAATTATTTTTAATTACTAAGATTGGTTCAACATAGTTGGATTTTAAAAATAAGGGTAAACTACGCATTTAATACATAAACTATTAGTTTTGGTCCGTTTTAGTACCCAAACTTTCAATTTTTTTTCAAAGTTATACCTAATGTTTAGTTTTCATTTCATTTTAGTATCTCACCATTAAAAACTTAACGCGTTTAATACCTAAACTTTCAATTTTTTTTCAAAACTTAATGTTAAATTTTGAACTGGTGTACTAAAGTGAAACTTAAAACTAAAGTTTTTAATGGTGGGTAAAATGAAATAAAAACTAAACTTTATGTATAGTTTTGGAAAGATTGAAAGTTTAGGTACTAAAATGGAACAAAACCGATAGTTTAGGCACTAAACACATAATTTTTCCTAAAAATAATTAATTAGTTACCATGATAATTTTTTATTAATAGAAAATTACATTATATTTTTTATTTTTTATACTTATAAAATTTTCGCAAATGTTTTTTGTCATCGTATTTAGATATACTAAATTCAATTAAATATTTTCCTTTAAAAAATATCATATAAAACCATTAATAAAATAAAATAAATAGTAATTATAAATAGAAAAGTAATGTTTATAAGTTATTTATTTAAATTTTGAGTAATATTTCATTTTTATTTAAAAATTATATGAAAACAAATATAAAAGGTAAATGTAGATATATTATTCAAAAAATATATTTTAAAATTTCTAGAAACACCGAAAGTCATCCTTGTAAAGAATAAAATTAAATTATTAAAAATGTTGTTTTGTATAAATTAATATTGTTGAAACAGATAAAAACAAATTGACCAAAATGAAGCGAAAGGGTAGTTTGAGCCGGAAAACAGTACCCAACTGTCAAGGGTAATTTCGTCAAGAGAGGATTTGTAATTTAGTGCGTGGTTTTGAGGGTTCTTCTTGCAAATGCAAACGGAAAAGAGCACCCAATACACCTCTTCTCCTTTTTCCAAAAATGCCCTCTCCACCTTCTTTTAATTTACCCTTCTGTACTTAAACCCCCAAAGCTTTTTCCCTCTTATTTTATGTATAAACCCCTCTTCTCCCCCGTCACTGTTCTCGGTTTCCATTCTCTTCTTCTCTCGCTCGTATTTGCTTCGGAGCTGACGTCATCAACATGGAGGACGCCGCCTCCGCCTCCGCGGGTGTCATGTTGGGTGGTGCAGGGAGACCGGTTCCGTTTCCCGTCGTTTTCTTCGACGGAGAGTGTGAAACCGGCATAGGCGAACTCGTTGTTCATCCAGCCATGGATTTCAAGGCTTTCCAATCGATTCTCAGCCGTAAGATCGGGATCTCACCTCACCAATTCACCGTCTACATCACGGATGGCAACAACCCGCGCAACCGCGTCCCCGTAACCGGGATAGATTTCTCGGCGGTTTCTCGCGAAAACGACTGTTTCTTCCTCGTCGTATTGAAAAGGTCGCGGCGGTGGCGGACAAGAAGAGGAAGGAAGGTGGAACCGTCTCACGCCACGAAGAAGGAACCGCCGGCGAACGCCATGTTGTTGAGGCGGGGCGATGGCGGAGGCAACAATTCGACGGAGACGGGGGTGTTTGCGGGATTGGATGAACTCGAGAGGAGGGTAAGGGATTTACAGATGGAGAAAGAGAGGTATTTGGCGACTTTGGGAAGCGCGAATCTGAGAATTGCTAGAGAATCCAGAAGATTGGTTTGTGAAGAGTGCGAGAACGCCAAGGACGTCGGATTCCATCGGTGCGTTTACGACGCCGTAACTTTCGGGTTCCGGTCTCATGCGGGCCCGATCGCCAGACCCGGGAAAGGCTCCGATCACTAAAAGTAGGCTTTTTTTCTTCTTCTTTTGGCATTTGTCCCCGAGGAAGAGAGGGGACTGTCCGGCTATAACTTGAAAAACGATAATCGAGGGTTGAAGTTGTTTAGGGATTGAGGATGGCAAAATCTTTATAAAATATAGGTTTCTTTTGCAAATTTATGGAAAGAATGAATATTATTATTATCATTTTTAATTTTTCATTTCTCTTCGAAAATATTATATTAAAAATATATTTCAATTTTGATATTTATATTAACAAATTAAAATTTTGAGATAAGAATTGTGATTTACAATTAATAATAAAACAATAAATTATCTTCTTGATTGTTTCAATTCAAGCATGACCTGATTTAGTATTAAAAGGGTTTCAATAATTTCCTAAGGAGGGCAAAACTTTCGAGATAATGTTCTGGAAAAAATTAATTCACGAGATAAAGCACTCCCAAGATTAATTGCTCAAATAAGGTGAAATCCACAGTGTTGACCGTAAGATGTCATGCCTTCCGGGCGACCTACTAGGTCACCATGTCTTCCCGGCGAGCTACAAGAGATTACATGTGCCATGCACGTCCCAACACGCTGGGCATCCGATGCCATCCGACCGAGGCCATTCGACCGAGGCCATCCGAACGAGCTATGCAAGGGCAACCGAGCGAGCTATGCGAGGGAATCCGAGCGAGGGTAGGTCGCCCGGAGTGCATGGTGACCTACAAGGTCGCCCGGAGGGCATGGCGACCTATGTTTTGGGACGTGCATGTGCCATGCAACACGTTCATTCTCTCTGTTTTAGCAAGGGTAGGTCGCCCGGAGTGCATGGCGACCTACAAGGTCACCCGGAGTGCATGGCGACCTACGGCCAACACTGTGGATTTCACCCTATTTGAGCAATTAATCTTGGGAGTGCATTAGTTCGTGAATTAATTTCTTTCAGAACATTATCTCGAAAGTTTTGCCATTGAGGAGTTTGTTCACATAGTAAATATGAAGGATGATTTTTTTAATATAAACACAAGTGTGATTATTTTAAAAAATTTAAGTTATCGTTAGGGTAAATAAATAATAGTTTTTGTTCTATTTTAGTATATATATATTTAATATTTATTTTTATTTTAATATCTCTGTCGTTAAAAATTTAACGACACAACTGATCATAGTATTTTTTTAATTATTTTTAAAATTTTAATTATTATTTAATTAAAACAATCTAATTCACCAATTTACTATACTCAACCCACTTGCATCATTATATCACCAATTGAATCTTAGTTGGATGCAAGAATTTAAATAACGATCCACGATGACGATAGCATTCGCGATATGGTGGTAAAGGTGCCTTCCGCAACCTTTATTATATGATCATGATACTCGTAAATTTGCAATAACATTCATTATGTCCGCAATCACAACAAACGAGACGTGGTCACAACCGCTATTATATGAATCCCTGGTTGGATGATGATGCTGCAACCTCACCTCCACCCTTTCTCCTTTCACAGAAACAAAAGAAAAAATAATCCAAATACCAAATCGTATTTCCCCTTCCCTACAAAAACACACCCACAATGTTTTCATCCTTCTTCTCTTCCTTGTTTTTTTTCTACCATGTCAATCACTTCACTTTTAATGTCGTAGGATCCTTCATCAACTCTTCTTTCCCTTCAAATCCACCCCTCATCTCCTAAATATTTTCTCTTCTCATTGTTCTTCTTTTTCCTCTTCTCCCCTCCCGACTCCACTTTCTTCCCCACCATCCCTTCCCCCTTGGCCATTCTC